ACGCTCTTTGACACCTTGATATATTATTGCAGACACAATGATTTTTGGGATGCCTGCTTGTACTAGTCCGGACGAATGCCGATTTTATCGCCATGCATGCTGCAGTTTCCCGACTCAGACACAGTATACGGACTCCGAGCCAACCAGTCCTTGTGGGGAATCAAACCCGGGCCTTCGGCGTGACGAGCGAACACTTTAACCACGAGGCTTACACACCGCCCCTAACTCATTAATGCCGAGCGCCAGGCAGGGCATCTTTCAACGTCTGTTTGTATGCCGCAGCCAGGAATCGAATCGCGCGTCGTTCGCTCTCCGGGCATACACTCTATCCACTAGGCCACAGAGGCGGTCACACCAGCAAGAAGCAAAGAGGGACATATATAGAAATGTGTGAATGTATGAATGAATTTGAACACAGCATTATGTCATCGATATGACGTATATGAGGATTGGGGGTGTTTTGAGCAACCGACGTGGTGCCCATCAAAGCATGGCCGTCATCGAATATGGCATGTCGCTATGGGCGGCTTGTTAGTGGACTCAACACACATACTTTTTATGGAAAAAACACGAACCTGTCAATTAGAAGGGAAATAGACGAATTAAGTGTTCCAGGAATAGACCCTCACCTCTATGGCATGTACTTTACATGGATGACGTTAATGGCGAGATGCTGATCCTGGTTGACAGACCCGGTGATCTCCTAGTGTCAGACTGGGCATGTCGCTACATACTTTGTCACATCCCTTGGAAGGTAGAGCCTGTCTATTATTGCCATACACGACAGTCACCTAAAGCTATGTCCGGAAAACACCACCAATTATTTTCTCGTTATGGGTATATGCTAAAACACTATCTTTTTTTTCAAAGGGCCACTCGACCTTCTTTTGTGCGCTGGGTTTAACGCCGCTACTGTTATATCACGGCGTGTTAGCTTAATGTGGGAGGTAAGCCCGAAGTGATGCAGGTCTCAGATGAAACCTACGAGCACGCGTATGGTGCTGACAAACCTAGAAACATAATCGGGGCGAACCGGGATTCGATCCAACGATCAGTTTTCTAGCGTGCTCAAGGGACGTAATTCTGCACAGCGAACGCTCGATCTTTACATACATACCTATGATAAAGTATTGTCTGTAGTTAGGGTAGGGTACCTTTTATAATGCAGACAGTCAAGAGCGGATCCAGCATTTTTGAAAGGAAGGGGTCCAAAATATCAAAATCCTCTCTCAGTCTATTTTACTGCCTACAACCTAGGCCTGACCCCGCTATGGATCCGCCTATGGGCCTTCGGGCACCCAAGACTTCAAACTTTGGCACCACGTGTCTACTCAGTGTTTCCGTGTCAGCCATGTTGCCGAAACAGACGCCAAGGACTTCATTCTTTGGCATCACGTGTCTCGTCAGCCATGTTTCTGAAACACACACCAAGGACTTCACTCTTTGACACCACGTGTCTAGTGAGGATTTCCGTGTCAGCCATGTTGCTGAAACACACACCAAGGACTTCACTCTTTGACACCACGTGTCTAGTGAGGATTTCCGTGTCTGCCATGTTGCTGAAACAGACACCAAGGACTTCCCTCTTTGGCACCACGTGTCTAGTGAGGATTTCCGTGTCAGCCATGTTGCCAATACAGATCGAGTCAGTCAAGGACATCAGCCTCTAACAGGTACCACTGCTCTTGTTAGCCATGTTGATTATGCAGACAGTCAGTCACACAAGGACTTCTTGTAATCTTTGTTGCTACTATTCTACTGATCACCATGTCAACTGAGTCTTTTATCAGGGCAGATAACCAAGGACTTCAATATGAAGTTATCCACCTTACGGTTGGACAAGATAAGGACTTCAGTTCCTGGCATTAAATCATCACCTTGCCAGCCATATTGCTTTCATAGACAGAAAATCAACGACTCCAATCGTTATAACTACATGTATGTGACTTTTCAGGGGTCACTTTGTCAACTAAAGCTTTATTCCAGACAGATGATCAAGAACATAAACATGAATTTCCATCTTTTTTGAAAAGAATATTCCACTCAAAGCCTTTAATCAAACCTATATACGTCTTTGCTTTAATGATTCTGGATACTGCTTGATACTGACCAGTGGTCACAGGGTTTTGCCCAATGCTGTTGTTTTGTTAATTATGGCCAGTGGCCAGTGAGTGACCCATGACTCGGCCAGTGTAAATACAGGTAGACAATACAGCACCAGGTCTGTCTGTGTGACATGCAAACATGGACCACAGACAGCTGAACATGGCCTCGCTGATTTAAAGCCTGAAGTTATGGATTAACATGTTTGTAGAAGGAGTAATTGTGTTAAGCTGTTGGGGGAAAATAGATACTGGAATGTGCTGGTAATTGATACCCACTTTCATCAAAGAAAGGCCACAATCAACCAACACATTCCCATTTATCATTTGTGGGAAAGGGTGAGAGGACAAATTCTTGATGGTGTTCACATCGGTTTTTAATCAGTCTAATTTGAACTGGGATGTTTTCTTAATTTGGAGGCTGAAAGAACTCATCTGAATGGGTATGCTGACATATGTGTGTAATTTTACTAAAAGTCGTCTGCAGGTTCATTTAAACTCTTGCAAGATGTCTTGATGACAAGAAATTGAAATACCATTTTGTGTGTATTTGTTTTATAAGTGGGAGAGCTCCTTTAAGTTGACCTGCATCCATCAGGTGATATACTACACTTTTACCTACAGTATGTAAAATCACACATTCGATCACATTATTGTGTCTTTTTTATTAGCAGTGGTTAAAGGGTTCCATTCCCCACATGGGTACAATGTGTGAATCCCAATGGCATAAAACTATACTTGCTCACTAACTTTTTTAATGTTTTTATTTGTTTTTGGGGTGTGTATTGTGTTGGCTGGTGTTTGTTTGTTTTGTTTTGTTTTTATTTGTATTTTTTTGGATGGTGCTGGTCATGCAGTCATGGATGATCAAGCCAAATAAGGCACAACAATTTGTTGTGCAGAGTTGCATCCAGCATCTGATGATCCCTCATTATAACTGCCTTCATTATGATTCTTATTGTCAGCACCGTACCCTGCTAGTGTCAGCACCGTACCCTGCAAGTGTCAGCACCGTACCCTGCTAGTGTCAGCACCGTACCCTGCTATTGTCAGCACCGTACACTGCTAGTGTCAGCACCGTACCCTGCTATTGTCAGCACCGTACACTGCTAGTGTCAGCACCGTACCCTGCTATTGTCAGCACGATACACTGTTACTGTCAGCACCGTACACTGCTAGTGTCAGCACCGTACCCTGCTATTGTCAGCACCGTACACTGCTAGTGTCAGCACCGTACCCTGCTATTGTCAGCACCGTACACTGCTAGTGTCAGCACCGTACCCTGCTATTGTCAGCACCGTACACTGCTATTGTCAGCAGCGTACCCCGCTAGTGTCAGCACTGTACCCTGCTATTGTGAGCACTGTACCCTGCTATTGTCAGCACCGTACCCTGCTAGTGTCAGCACCGTACCCTGCTATTGTCAGCACCATACCCTGCTATTGTCAGCACCGTACCCTGCTAATGTCAGCACCGTACCCTGCTATTGTCAGCACTGTACCGTGCTATTGTCAGCACCATACCCTGCTATTGTCAGCACCGTACCCTGCTATTGTCAGCACCGTACACTGCTAGTGTCAGCACCGTACCCTGCTATTGTCAGCACAATACACTGCTACTGTCAGCACCGTACCCTGCTATTGTCAGCACCGTACCCTGCTATTGTGAGCACGATACCCTGCTACTGTCAGCACCATACCCTGCTATTGTCAGCACTGTACACTGCTATTGTCAGCACCATACCCTGTTATTGTCAGCAGCGTACCCTGCTATTGTCAGCAGCGTACCCTGCTAGTGTCAGCACCGTACCCTGTTATTGTCAGCACCGTACCCTGCTAGTGTCAGCACCGTACCCTGCTATTGTCAGCACCATACCCTGCTATTGTCAGCACCGTACACTGCTAATGTCAGCACCGTACCCTGCTATTGTCAGCACTGTACCCTGCTATAGTCAGCACCGTACACTGCTATTGTCAGCACCGTACCCTGCTATTGTCAGCACCGTACACTGCTAGTGTCAGCACCGTACCCTGCTATTGTCAGCACCGTACCCTGCTATTGTCAGCACTGTACCCTGCTATTGTCAGCACCGTACACTGCTAATGTCAGCACCGTACCCTGCTATTGTCAGCACTGTAACCTGCTATTGTCAGCACTGTACCCTGTTATTGTCAGCACCGTACCCTGCTATTGTCAGCGCCGTACCCTGCTCATGGGTTGCATCAAAGCTGTAACATCCAGAACTGGCATCACTTCAGGATTTCTTCCCAGTGTGCCTGCACATACAACTGAATACTGTTCCAAGCATAACTAGTCTGCATTACTAATCCTCATCACTAAATCCTCACTCTTTAATTAATTTAGTCTTTTTACTTGGGGTGGGAGGTGGGTCTTTTTATTTCAGTTCTACATTTCTCAAATGGTAATCAGGGGTAATCAAGCGTTTGCTCGTCACACCGCAGGCCTGGGTTCGATTCCCGACATGGGTACAATGTATGAAGCTGATTTCTGGTGTCCCCCACCGTGATACTGCTGAAATATTGCTAAAAGCAGCATAAAACCATACTCACTCACTCACAAAGAATCATTTCCACATTGTAGAATATGGCTAGTATTCTACTAAGAGAAATTTGGAAATGTAAATTGTGCTGCCGAACTGTGTTGTTTGTAGCTTCAAGTACAACAATCCTGAACAAGACTTAAACCCCATTCACCATGGGCTTTTTCTCACATTAAGCTGACATAACCCAAATACTGTTAATGCAGTGTTAAATTTTGATTGTACATCAAAGTCAATCTGTAAGTCCAGTTATCATAACATCCCATAATATCATCACCACAACGGATGTCTATCTTCACATCAGCCCCACTTCCTTCCAACCCCGGTCCAAAGCCCCCATTAATGTGACCAAGCCAGGTTTATGCACAATTGCATTTGCCCCGGGGCAGATCATTTAATTGTTTTGTTACGCCATATATCAAGTCTGCACTGAGAAACCCAGCCTATCTAGGCTATCACAACCCTCACTGACCAAACAGGTAGTGTAACATCTCATTGGAAAATAATTGCAGGCTCCCTTGCCCCTCATTGACGAGCTTGTAGCAAGGGACATCCATTGGTGAACAGGTGATTGGTCAGTCTTACCCACAATAAGGTTTGATTACAGGTGGGTCTGCCTTGTGGTTTCCACGAGGTAAACTGTTTCCAGTCATTTGAAGTTACCTGTCTGAGTCGTTAACCTGCTCGCACAGGTGTGTTCTGTTCTCCTTTGACCAGGTCACAGCGACCTGGAGTGTCATGATTGCTTTAGAATCAATAGTGTCTGCCCTAATATCAGCTGTATAAATACGCTAGTCCTGTTTCTTATCAGTTTACTTGATCGGGGATTTTGCCTTGAAGTTCAAAACTTGAACTGATTTTTTAAATAGGGAAATAAATCATTTATTCATTGTGTACACAACATAAGCATATGAATAAGCAAACAGACATGTATTAAAGCAGATTTATTTTCCATCAATAACACAAATATAAGCATAGTAAGCAAAAATATGATATCAGTTCAAAGGCAGATAGTTTGTGCTTTATATCCCCTTCTAATGCCAGTGTGTACCTTGTATTTGATGGAACAATACAAGGTGAATATTCTGCATTTTACACCCAAATGACATGGAATTCCTTATCACGTTACTGTCTGTCATGTCAAAACGTATCAATTTGGATAATGTCCATGTATTTTCATATCTTATCAACAGTGTACTTTAGGTTGACAAGACAGGTGAATTGGTAGTCATACAATTTGATGGTTATTGTCCATGGTACCACCTTGTTTGTTAAATTTAAATATAATGAAGCCAATTTTGGTAACTGTGAATGATTACATTGATATTTCAAGACATTCTCTTACACATACAACAACTGGCAATAGGCCCTTATTAGAGTGTTCATACTGACAATTGTTAGGGCCTGGCCATATGTTATGGGGGGTTGAGTTGTGGGGTGGTGTGTGTGTGTGTGAGTTTGATTGTTTTGGGTAGGGTACAATCAAATTCTGCTGACCCCCCATTTTGTCATCCCCCCCCCCCCCCCCGGCGAGACTGACTACCCAATCCATTAGTTGCCTCTTACATCAACCATGGGTTGCTGAAGACCAATTCGAACCCAGATCTTCACAGAGCTTGACACATATGACCTCCCATGTTTAAGCCCATTAACTGTATACACTGTATCAGTTCAATTATTTTAAAAGTTCATTGTTACTTTTTTGGTTTGATTTTTGTTGTTTATTATGTTTTTATTTTTCAATTTCACTTAATTGTCCATGAAAGATAGAGAGGCCGAACAAATGAAAATAAATATAACTATTTTAATTTTAAATGTATTTCTGATGGTGGCATGAAATCAGGTCTGCCCAAAATATAAAAACTGACACCTCATCACATTTTTATTGCAACAAGTTTCTACATATGCCCAACCAAGCCCACATGGTGCATATAGCCATTCATAATATATATCTATATGCAAATATAAGTTCAGTCCTCACTAGTATAATATTAACATTTTTCATTCCACTTGAAAGAGACAACTGTATTGAAATTATTTTTTTATTTTGGAATAGCAAACATACATTTTTTACTTTCATCTTATTTAATCTTAGTGATATCAACCATTTTATATCTTTCAAACTTTCAAGTATTGAATTACCTTAAAATATCACCCACCTTTATTGATGACTTGCAAGGCACTTAATAAATAACAGTATGCATTTCAATCTCAGAAATATTGACAGTATGATGTATAGGGGCCGCCATTACTGTGAATGAGCTTGAAAGTGGGTGAACCTGCTCACGGGGAGATCAATGCATGGAGTATGTCGCAATGTTGTCGTAGAATTCACCTCAGACACCTGTACATTGCTTTAAGCATGTCAGAGCTATCAGTGTGGAGTCCTCAACATAAGATGACTAATTTAAAATAAAATTAAGGCAAGACTAATTTAATTATTTGGTTTGCACACTAGAAGAAGCTTGTAATAAGAAGCGTGTAAATTGTAAGGATCAAACACGTATTTTCACTGTTTGAAACTTTCAGTGGAGACACAAGTACTTTTATCGAGCAGGGCGAAGTCATTTTCATGTTTTATGGATAAGACTGCACTAATTTTTTCATATGTGACATAAATTAAAAAAACAACATATGCTGTTTGATTGAAAATATGTTTTAACATTTTTGGTATCAACTTCTTTTCAAGGGGTATTTTATGGTAATTAGCCTCAAATCATCCCGACAACATTATATATTTTTTAGATTTTGCCTTTTGACCAAGAAAATCTCAATTTCATTAAAATCAGAACCCAGTACTCGTTATCGTGTGGCAGTAGCGAACACTGTAATGTTATTTTAATGATATTGAGAAAATCTGAAAAAAAATATTAAATTGGTCAACAACCAAAAAATGCCATTCAATTTCAACTCAAGGGACATGTCAGGTTTTTTACCATTCATAAAGACATATTGAGAAGACATGTAACATAAGTGATACCCCAACCACACGGTGCCCCAACTGCATATTGATAGATACTCATGAGTGTGTTACTGTACAAGATCATTCATTGACAATGTTGACATACCTCTGTGACAGATTGACAGATCCTGTCAAAGAGTGACATAACTGCTCCAAGTGTGTTCTGGCACATCTGACTTGGGGACAGTCAAGTCCATGGGATAGATCTATAGATCTGTGATGATAGATCTGCAGAGGGGACCAAGTCTGGACACAAGACATGCTGATTTACCTCCATTTACATTTCTCCGACTCTGATGAACTGTCTGTCAAGGGTGTATTTATCATTCATACCTTCACTAATCCATTATCATGTCATTTAATCAGGCAATGTTAATGTATCGTGTTGGTTTAATTAATACTAAGCCTCCTTGAAATGTGAAGAAAAACAAGGATGGAAATAAACAAATTGCTGTGTTTTGATTAAAGGTATAACCCAAAAAATATGACAAATTGATAAAGTACTATACATTTTCCCGACAACCATGTAGTTGCATGGGTACCAGGTAGGATTTAAGAGTGAACCCACTTTTCAGAACAATAACACAAGTTTAACATCCTCATTGTTAACAATTCTAAATAACTAGATATCTTAACTCTCTATATCCTCTAGCACATAGAAGAACAAAATTTGATTTTGAGTTTCTTCAAATCTTACAATAGGGTTCAAATGGAAAGTATAGAGTTCAATATTTAACAATGAATACTGACTCTTTAATTTCCATCAGATATAAAAGGTAATAAACTTGAAGTTTAATGTAAAAAATATTTTATTCAACCAAAACAGGAAATAATCATATCAGTTGTCATATGTTCTGGTAAATTTAGTAACAAATTTGAAAAAGATAACCTTATCAGTTAATTAACTGACTCCCGATTTTTCACCGCATTTTAGCAATGTTGTACAAAGATACAACTCAAACACATTTATTTACCATGTAGGTTCATTCTAAACACGACCGCCCACTCCTGACTTCGCTGACAGTGCGGGGGAGTAGTGAGGGACAGATAAGGACTAAACTTTCCACATGTTGAGATCTATATTTAATGTTGTATATCTAAAACAGATAAAAACATATTTCATAAGGAAAGTTACTCAGTGTGAGTTGATACAGCTGCAGGTTGCCAGGCATTGCAGTCATGGGAGGACAAGGCATCCTAGTTGTAGCCTCATCTTTGAATCATAACACTGTGTCTTGTGTATGTAGGCTGTGACGTACCAAGGGTTGGTTAGGTAGCCTAGCGGGTCTGGTCATGCCAAACACATGGGTTTGTTTCTCACATGACAAGATGTGTCAGTCCATCCACTGTGTCCCATGTGGTCATCACTGGAATATTAATGAAAGCAGTATAAAAATCATATTCAATCCAGAGTTAAGTTTTTTTACATTTTTTGGTTTATCCTTTTTTGGTAAAAATGTAGTCTGTTGTGGACAAAAAATTAATTTGTTTTGTTTTGTAAATATAATTTTGGTAATATAAATATAATGCCTTGTCTGCAGCGTTACTGATGTTAGCTTAACTCATCAATAGGCCCATTGCAATTTATTTTCTTGCTGTGTCTTCAATATGTATGCCACAAACCTATGATTGTAGGTTTGAATCTCGGTTTGCCCGATTATCATTCCAGGTCAGCACCATACCTGTGCAGGTGAGTTTCACCAAAGTGGTACCGGGTAACCGTCTGAGGCCTGCATCACTTCCCTCCTACCCTGCACATCAAGCTGACTCGCTGTGATATAAATGGAATACTGGTCACACTCAACACATTCACTAATTGTATGCGCAATTGTTTCTGTGATAAACGCAAGTTGGCATCCAGTGAATTGAAAGAATAGTGCATTTTACAATCTATATTTTTACTTTTCATTGTAGGGTTGATGGAATCTAAAAACAGATAAAGAAAAAATAACTTCAAATTTGGCCAGTCCAATTCTAATACATGTACTTGTTTTACAAATAATTTTATAACCAACAAGCATGTGAGAGATATTTATGGCATTTAAGGCTTCTTGACCATTTTAGTAGTTTTACATATTTGGATATATACTAATGTTTAACAATTTGTTTCTGAGAGATATTGCATTTTTAACATATATAGCCAGTTTTATTATGACAGCATCATCTTTTTCCTTATAGAAAGCATATCCTTGAATCAACTGGACTTAATCGAAATAATTATGGACTCGTTCTTTCAGAAGGAATTACCAAACAGATGTATCTCCTGATACAGAGGTAAACCTAACTCATCTCATTTTCTCGTCCTTGTGATGATGTATATAAAAAAGACCAATTGTGTCAGTTTCTGCAAGTCCTTGGTCTATCTTAAACTTCATGACTGAGAGAGTATGGTTTTATGCCGCTTTAGCAATATTCCAGCAATAACACAGCAGGAACATCAGAAATGAGCTTTACACATTGTACCCATGTGGGGAATCGAACCTGGCCTTCGTTGTGACGAGCGAACGCTTTTACCAATAGGCTACCCCACCGCCCCACCTTAAAATAAAGAATGTTGGTATTATACTATAGGACTAGTACCAGTTTCAAAACCTTGTTTTACCTTGTTTGCTGCCCCTATTCTTAACGCCCATCCATCAAGAAGATTTATCACATAAAATTCATCAAATTATACCCATCGGAAGTTAACGTCTTTTCTATTTTATTGGAACCAGATCCGAAGCAGATAACAACCCAAATTGGATGTGAAATGTTCACCTTGGTCAATGCCTAAATCCAGATGGGTTCAGCTGATGGCTACTTTTAAATGGACAGTAATTAGCATGGTGGTTGTTAATTACAGGTGTGTCAGTGACCACAAGCCAGCTTCCTGCTGTTGCCTTGTGTCCAGTTTCAGTGACCCAGGTCACTGATTACATTCACAATCCAGTGGGGATAGTGGATATCCAAATCTTTCAAGGTCAAGTTCTGCCTACCAAGATGGACAACAGGCTGTGTGGTGATAAATATACATAACAGTACTTGTAGTATAAATAGGTTAAGGTCATGAACTATGTGGAACAATGTGGACGTGTGATTGACAGCTATTGAACATGGTTGGATATGAGGAACAGCTGGATGTCAATCAATATGAAATATATTTCAGTTATCCAACTGAAGAAATATGTACTTTCCTTTTATGAATATTTGATTTCGAGTTTCAAGAGACAAGAAGTCCTTTTGTGTTGGTGTTTTAGCATTATAAACTCTTGATTCATTTTTTAAAATTTTATTATTATTATTATTATTATTATTATTATTATTATTATTATCTGAAATTCAGACTTCTGTGATATAAGCATATATAACTATAAGAGAGAGATAACATTTTCTAGACATAACAACAACTGTTGTTTATGTGTGTCAACCTGGCTCTAGTTTGTTTGTTTGTTTTTTAACATCTAACATTTAAGGCCACATTCAGCAATATTCCAGCTAAATGACAGCTGTCTGTAAATAATCAAGTCTGGATCAGACAATCCAATGATTGACATCATGAGCATCAATCTACACAGTTGTACCATGATGACATGCATCAACCAAGTCACTGAGCCTGACCACCCAAACCCGTCTCTTACAACAAGCATGGGTTGTTGAATACCAATTCTGACCAGGATCTTCAAGGGGAACCTGGCTAAAGAAGGGTAGCAAGTCAAGTGACATATGTAGTTTTATGACAAAAGAAAATAGCACTAATTTCCTCCTTACCTCCCTCCAGTCTCTAAAAGGAAACATCACTAAAAACTAAAAATGTACTTAAACAATGTATAAATTGGAGGGCTTAAAATCAATAAAAAGAATTTTGGATATACTGGTAATGAAAGTTAGTGATCAATTTTCTCCTTAAAAACATCTTTCGAAAACATTTACATAAAGTTTATGACCTGCCTGATTATAACAGGATTAAAATGTTAAGAACAAAAATTATTTTTTGGCTGTCAGATTAATGCAATGATTTCCCAAATTTGCTTCTCAACCATGTAATCTTGACCAAGTGAAGTCCCTCGAATGTCCCATGCGGATTCCAAAGCAGGGGTGGGAGCGTGGGAGGGTGTGTGTGTCCTTACGCTACCTGATGTTCTTACTGATATTTGAGATATTATGCAACAAGATGAGTTGAGAACTTAGTTACATGACCACTTGTTTTAATCATGACATTTGATAAGACAGCTGTTTTTAGCATTGTGTCATTTGAAGCTGACCCAAAACATTGCCTTATGGCGAATTTTGTCCTGCACTTGACTGACATTTTGTCCCAGAAATAATCTTATTTAAAAATATATATCCACAAAATAAAAAACATAATATCCAAGTGGAGCCCAGAACAATCCCTAATTTCAGGGTTGAGGCAATCTAGACTTGACTTTTAATATATTCGCAGGGTCTGTGGAATATATATATAATTTGAAGCCAAATCCAGTCTAGATTATAAAAAACAAGTCTATAGTCAGCTCTCTTCCACAATGATTTGTTTGTTTGTTGTTTAACGGCACACTCAGTAATATTCCAGCTATATGACGGCTGTCTGTAAATCATCGCGTCTCAACCAGCCAATCCAGTGATTGACATCATGAGCATCGATCCACGAAAAAATTGGGATACCATGACATGTATCAACCAAGTCAGCGAGCCTGACCACCTGATCTGCCTTTTATGGCAAGCATGGGTTACTGAAGACCTATTCTACCCCGGATCTTCAAGGGTCTATTCCACAATGAAATCAGCATCAGAAAAAAATTTCAAGGAGAGAAATGTATTATTTAATAAAAGATTTCATAGACTACTCTAGTCTAGTGGCAAATCAGTGTTTGGTGTTTATCAGAAGAGACTGGACATAAAATACACTGGATAATACAGGAGGTAATACTACATGAACCAAAAAATGAACAAACTGGACAAATCTTGATAATGTTATATGTCAATTCATTAAAAGTATAAACAAATATCTCACCATAACAAGAAAATAATCATCATTATGAACAATCTTATCCTCATCAGCAAGCATACAAAAAACCTGATGATGCCGATCGGGGTTGTATATTTATAGATTTTCAACAACCTCTCCAGCTAGGATTCTGGTTAACTCAGTACAAAAGTAAATACGTTATGTTTTTGACTTGCAGCTGTGACCACAGAAATGTTTATATGAGAGACAAAATTTCATTCTTATCTCAGGCAGACAAGTGGGAGATTCAATGGTTCACTGCTATGATGTACAAGATGGATTACAGAAAAAAACCTGCCCTTTTTAAATTTCTGTTCTTGGAAAGCCTGCATCCAAAACCAACCGATTTGCAGGATGCTATATTTCCAATGGAATTATAGAAATGAACAGGAATTAAACAGCTGGATTTACATGCAAAAATATACTTGATAAAATTATTTGTTTCAAATCTTTTGAAATCAAAGTCATGATGTAAACGTGATATATGCTGCTGATCTCTGTGAAAATTTAATACAGAAAAATGAATCTTCTGTGAAAATTTAGAATGTTACCAATAAACACCCTACATTTCCCCCCTTAACTGACAGAACCTCCCCACCCCCTCTGCACTGGCAGATCTGGGGTGGGTTGTGTCCAGGGATTCTGACCACCTCTCTTATGAACAAATGAAGAACATATGCCTCTCTGTGATAGTGTGAGTAGACCCATGAACTCCTAAACTGTAGGCTCCACCTCCATCCCACCTTACGCATATACTACTTCAAAGAAAATAAACAAATTAATTGAATTTTTATTTCAGCCTCCATTTCCAAAAAAGTTCAGGACCTCACAATTCTTTCATATTACTATAGTTAATCAGTCATGGCATGGTCTATTTTGTTAAATAGTATAGTAAGCAAAGTTCTTTAACCATAAAAGTGTTCTTGGATGTAATGCCAAGATGTGAACTTTTAACTGCGGGGTAGTAATAATCCTGTTTGTTACATTGTAATCTTACATCTTACATGATGAGGTGTGAAAGTTTCATATCCTCAAGCAGTAAACAGTATTATCTTCCATCTGAGTTGTATAGCAAGCTGACCCACTGACCCTCTGACCAGTGTAGAACAATGATATCACATACACTGACCAACTGACTATTGTCATTGTTACATATCATTCGGACAACATCCCACTAACTCATGGGTATTTACAACCGCATCTGACTGTAAAATTTATTGTATCTTCAAAGCCCATCAATGACTGAGTCATGACCTGGTGTGGACTTAATGAGGACTGTAACAGTAATGAAACGCTCTAGGTCAATGTCTATCCATTGTCCAGAACACCTTTAACCTAATTTTCAATAGTGATGTGACTTAGTGTGAAATTCAATATGAATGTTACATATTTGTGGTGATGAACATGAATAAATATTATGGATATTTTGAGGGATATGTTGTCCCAAGAACATTATCTTAAGTTTACGTCTGAATTTATTTTGCATTATAATCTATTTAGCTTAATACATTGATTATCAATAGCAGGGCTTTATAGTCTCAAAGACATCTGACATCTGTGGTTGATACTTTTGGACTGTTTAATTCTGTCATAAAAGAAACTTAAATGAGGATTAGGTGGTCAAAATGACAAAGGTTACAGAGTGAGTGAGTTGGTTTTAATGCCGTTTTTAACTGTATTCCAGTTACATCACGGCATGTAAGCTTAACGTGGGAGGAAAGCCTGAAGTGATGCAGGTCTCAAACATTTACTACTTTGATGAAACCCATTAGCATGGGTATGGTGCCGACAAACCTAGATATTTGTGCAAACCAGGATTCAAACCCAGGATTTCTGGGGTGCCCAAGAGATGCAACTCTGTACACAACATTGTGGCACCTTAGAAAACTCGGCTAGACTAACACTTAATCTATAAAAAGATTTCATTAAAATAATTGTAATTTGTTTCCTAAAGAACCTTTCCACCTCTGCTGTTTTCATATGTGGAATCAAGGAAACTAGTCTTGGTTTAGTTTGATCTAGACATGCCTAGGCTTTTATTAAAAAAATAAATATGTGTATATATATATAAACTCCACTGTCATGGCTCAGAGCTATGACTTGGCCACCAGTGCCCCTTACAGACATCATCAGAAAAGACCATCCCTTGCTGGGAGCCTGTGCTATTTTACCCAGCATTCAGATGCTTGCATGTAGGATCACGATTTGGCAAAGGGCGGGATGTGACATGGAAACCTTTTTGTCCACTATATTTTTTTCTAGTATATGTCAGAAGATGAGTAACTAACCCAATCATAGGAAACAAAGGTAACGACTACACATAAACTGACTGGCCAAAGAAAATATACACCCATGTTTGATGGTGACTAAAAATGAAACAAACAAGAAATATGTTATTCAATGGTAATGTATTTGATACAGGTATATTACATGCAAAGTTGCCCTTGGACCTTAAGTTTGCAGTGTTTCTGCGACTGTTTTCAGCTTAATAATGTTTTGATAATATTTGTAAATCTTTAGTCAAATCCTATAAGTGTTTACTTTCTTTTGCCTGGCATTTTATATCATATATGATTTAAAAATCTTCGGTCCAGACTCCAGACTCTAGACTCCAGTTTTTGTCACATCCTTGTACTTGACCACATAATAAGTCAAACACTTGCAAATGCTAAGAAGAAGAAAGACTAGTTGTCTGTCATAAAATAAACATCCATAAATATGCTGAATTTGAAAGTTCCAGTTCCAGATGGTTCTTGTTTCATTTCCAGTGGGCCAACAAGTGCCCTTATCATTACTTATCTTAACCCACAACAATCTGTAGCAACATCTGTAGCAACAACTGTAGCATGTGTCACTCCTCCTAGCACTGTCCTACAACACAGATAGCTATACAACAGTGATTAAGATATCTGGTCAAATGTTGTCTCTCTAACATGTGAAGTATGCCTTTATCTTGGAATGTCTACTGATTAGGAAGTGTTTGTAGGTGTGTTACTAGATAAAATGGACTTAAAGGTTTGCTAGATCAGCCAAAACATCCCTCACTCACTCACTCACTGTTCACGATTTCATCAAGTGTCTTCAGCCAAAGAACATGAGACTTTGTACTTTGTGATTTAATACATCTGATTTCATGTAACACAGCTTTGGAACTTCTTGTTGAATTTACTGTTATGCATGCTGTCCTATCAAAAGGCTGATAAATTTTGAACAAGCTCACAGCAACTTGATACAAATAAATGAATTAAACATTGATTTTAAATCCTTGCAGTCAATAAAGACAAACTTGGCATGACTTCCTCTGGGAACAGTCTCATTTCTCAAGCCGAGACACTTCATGAACATTTGATGAGCTGAAAATTTGTGAAATTTTTCTGACAATTTTTCCAGAGACCTCTTTGAAGGCGTATACTCAAAGTGAGACCCAAACTCCACATTTCTCAATAAAAGACTGGTGCTTTCATTTTGTATTTATGATGAATGTTTTCCTGCACAGCCAATGGAAAACATTACACCACAACAAAATTTAAAATTCATTAATTTTCCATGAATCAGATAAAGTAAATTGAATAAATACCATTCCTATAAGCCAGAGGAGGTCTTTACTAGCATCCGGGGAGGGTTTCAGTCTCGCACTGAGGACCAAGCACATTTCTGTGAGTGAAGGGTGCTTTAATGACAGAAAGTGGAAACAATTGGTTCTTAGACAATAACCTAACAGTGTTCTCACTGGGGAATACAATTTTCATTCTCTGACCCTTTTTCTGCTGTTCTGGAGTCTGGAGATTTAATTATACTATTAGGCCAGATCAATGCATATTATTTTTTAACGAGCTTCTTTAACTTTTGCAACAGTTAGAATTATTATTTTTTTAAATTATAAATGATGTTTATTTGAAAATTATTTTTTTTCTTCAAACTTTTGTAAATTTATTTCAAGTTCATTTTTTCAAAAACTTAACCTCAAATTAACATTTTTCATACTGCCTCCTGCATTTGATGAAGATAATTTGTTAAACAAGAAATAATATTGGTCTGACATTACAATTGTTAACATTAAGTTAAAAGTAACTTTGCTATAAAGTTATAATATGAGTTTTTAACTTTTGTGTACTAGTTTTGCTTAGATAACAAAATTAGACTACGATGTTAAGAAAGAAATTGAGCATAAGGTTGCATGAAAGGCAACACTTTCTCTTTTTGGGTTTTATGGATAGACAAATCAGAAAATGAAATAAAAACACTGTAGGCATACAGCCAATACAATGGTGACATGTAAATTATTAAATGTGGATCAAACAAAACAGTGGTTGAACAACCTACCAGTCAGAACCACAGCACATCATTATCAACAAGATCATATAATATGAAGACAATCTCAATTAAGTGAGATATATTGACACACAATATTTTTCTGTTCTCACATATTCCTCATGTGGGTAAAAAGATTGAACAAATGTACATTTTAACATTTATGTTTATTATAATTTTTTTATGAATCAGTATACATGTGTATATATGCTCTTAAATTCTTCTTTCACACACTCTGTGTGATTTAATGTCCTCTTATAAGTTAATGCTCACCCTCCAGTCATTATATGTTTATTGAGGAAATAAGGTTTATTTCTATACCTTCAAGTCATATAGACTGATGGAATCTTGTGACAGAAGCAGAGACATTGCCTTTTCATTCATTTATTGCTGAAATGGGATCCCAGACTTTTAAAGCAGAATTTTTGCTTTTTTGGTTCATTGAAATATCTTTTTTATGAAGTTATTAATAAGTTTTTAAAATATTTGAATTGTGTATTTTGTGTTAAACACTTTTTATTTATTTTGACGAAAAGTTTTCACAAAACCATCTTTAAACCAAGAAATATTTGTTTGTTTGTTTGTTTGTTTGTTTGTTTGTTTGTTTGTTTGTTGTTTGACACTGAACACAGCAATACTCCAGCTTTATGGCGGCGGCCTGTAAATACATGTAATTAAGGCTTGACCAGGGCCCACTTGCACAAAGCGATCTTAGCGCTAAGATGATCTTAACTCCCATACTTTAACATAGGCTTACAATAGCCGTAGCGCTAAGATCGCTTTGTGCAAGTGGACCCAGATGATCCAGTGATTGATATTGTGAGCAACGACCAAATCTGTCTGGGTATGGGGACACCCCATCAACAAAGTCACCGAGCCCACTTGCACAAAGCTATCTTAGCGCTAAGACTATTGTAAGCCTTTGTTAAAGTATGGGAGTTACGATCATCTTAGCGCTAAGATCGCTTTGTGCAAGTGGGCCCAGATCAATTGGATCTAATTCTAACCCAGAATCCCCACATGGTAAAACAAGAAATAAGAAACAGTTTTTGTATTTAAGTATCACGATTTTATTGCAATGGTTAAAATGTTCTAAAGAATCTCCCATCATAGCTTCTGACAAATGCGTTACCTGTAAACATTTGTCGAATGTATTCAGTGGCTAGTGATCCTAGATGACCCAGGAACAGATGGGAACATCTTGACAGCCATCTTCATCTCCTGTGTAGACTGGTATATTTACTCTGTGAAGGACGACAAGAAGGTATTATACAGGGTATGGTCAGTATTGTGGACACATCAATTGTGTTAATATATTCACAACAAGTGAACACAATGCTTCTATTGTGGGTCATGTTCCTATGAATGTCTGTAAGTCTCACAGTCAGTGCATAACCCTATCATATGGAGATTTGAGTAATCAGCGCATTCATTGACCTCAGTTCAGTAGAAGTAGCTTCTGGGACAGTTGCTAATGGAGTGTGTGGTTAGGAATACATTACTGGACTTGTGACGTCTTGTCATCTTGGCTGCTGGGCATCTGTGTGGGTCTATTGATGAGTCGACATTCTCACGGAGCTGTCAGTGTGTGATTGTTTTATACATCTGTGTCTGTTTCTCATGGTTGTTAATGTGCCTTGTCGTATACACAAGACATAATGTGTTCATGTGTCATACTATTGTCATATACACAATACAATATGTCCATGTGTCATACCATTGTCATATACGCCAGGCACAATGTGACCATGTGTCATACCATTGTCATATACGCTAGGCACAATGTGACCATGTGTCATACCATTGTCATATACGCTAGGCACAATGTGTCCATGTGTCATACCATTGTCATATACGCCAGGCACAATGTGACCATGTGTCATACCATTGTCATATACGCCAGGCACAATGTGTCCATGTGTCATACCATTGTCATATACGCTAGGCACAATGTGTCCATGTGTCATACCATTGTCATATACGCCAGGCACAGTGTGACCATGTGTCATACCATTGTCTTATATGCCAGGCACAATGCGTCCATGTGTCATACCATTGTCATATACGCCAGGCACAATGCGTCCATGTGTCATACCATTGTCATATACGCCAGGCACAATGTGACCATGTGTCATACCATTGTCATATACGCCAGGCACAATGTGTCCATGTGTCATACCATTGTCATATACGCCAGGCACAATGTGACCATGTGTCATACCATTGTCATATACGCCAGGCACAATGTGTCCATGTGTCATACCATTGTCATATACACCAGGCACAATGTGTCCATGTTTCATACCATTGTCAAATACGCCAGGCACAATGTGTCCATGTTTCATACCATTGTCATATACGCCAGGCACAGTGTGACCATGTGTCATACCATTGTCATATACCCAAGACACAACGTGACCACCGACCTTGGCAGACACTCACTTCATTCGACCATGGAGGCGGTCACCAGTGAGAGGATGGAGTCAGGCCTGGGAAGGTCACTGTGACCATGTAGAAGGAGAGGGTCAAGTGTTACCTCCTTGACCACATTCCATCATAAGGACACAACACTTCCCCACTTGAAACAACAGGACTTTGTCCAGTGGGCGTGTCCCTCTGGTTCTCACAGTCCTACCACAGAAAACACTCAGTTTCTTATCTTTCAGCTAAATCTGACCCTACGAATGGCTTTCTCTACCTACAGGTTTAAATATAGGGCCAGTTTGAAGAACACAATAGTCAAATAATTTTTAAAGTTCTGTTGGTTTCTTATGAACAAAACATGAATGGTACAGACACTGACACTGAAATAATTGATAAGTCAGCATGATTGGGGCAAGGCAAGGGGAGGGAGGGGGAGTGAAAGGACATTACAGTAGCAAGCAGTGAGATTAAATGTTGATTGATGTGTACTAGTCATCTTACCTTCCCTTTAAGTGGAGCCCTGTTCCACAAAGCGATCTTAGTACTGAGGTGATCATTACTCTTATGCTTTACTATTGGCTTATGATAGTTGTATCGCTAAGATAGATCACTTCTGTGAAACAGGGCCTAGGGGGAATGGGTAGCTAAGGTGATCGTAACTCTTATACTTTCATATTGGCTTACGATAGTTGTATTGCTAAGATCACTTTGTAGAACAGGGACCAGGGGGAATGGGTGGCTAAGGTGATCGTAACTCTTAGACTTTCATATTGGCTTACGATAGTTGTATCGCTAAGATCACTTTGTAGAACAGGGACCAGGGGGAATGGGTGGCTAAGGTGATCATAACTCTTATACTTTCATATTGGCTTACGATAGTTGTATTGCTAAGATCGCTTTCTAGAACAGGGACCAGGGGGAATGGGTGGCTAAGGTGATCGTAACTCTTATTCTTTCATATTGGCTTACAATAGTTGTATTGTTAAGATCGCTTTGTAGAACAGGGACCAGGGGGAATGGGTGGCTAAGGTGATCGTAACTCTTAGACTTTCATATTGGCTTACGCTAGTTTTATTGCTAAGATCACTTTGTAGAACAGGGACCAGGGGGAATGGGTGGCTAAGGTGATCATTACTCTTATTCTTTCATATTGGCTTACGATAGTTTTATTGCTAAGATCACTTTGTAGAACAGGGACCAGGGGGAATGGGTGGCTAAGGTGATCGTAACTCTTATTCTTTCATATTGGCTTACAATAGTTGTATTGTTAAGATCGCTTTGTAGAACAGGGACCAGGGGGAATGGGTGGCTAAGGTGATCGTAACTCTTATTCTTTCATATTGGCTTACAATAGTTGTATTGTTAAGATCGCTTTGTAGAACAGGGACCAGGGGGAATGGGTGGCTAAGGTGATCGTAACTCTTAGACTTTCATATTGGCTTACGATAGTTTTATTGCTAAGATCAATTTGTAGAACAGGGACCAGGGGGAATGGGTGGCTAAGGTGATCATTACTCTTATTCTTTCATATTGGCTTACGATAGTTTTATTGCTAAGATCACTTTGTAGAACAGGGACCAGGGGGAATGGGTGGCTAAGGTGATCGTAACTCTTATACTTTCATATTGGCTTACGATAGTTTTATTGCTAAGATCACTTTGTAGAACAGGGACCAGGGGGAATGGGTGGCTAAGGTGATCGTAACTCTTATACTTTCATATTGGCTTACGATAGTTGTATTGCTAAGATCACTTTGTAGAACAGGGACCAGGGGGAATGGGTAGCTAAGGTGATCGTAACTCTTATACTTTCATATTGGCTTATGATAGTTTTATTGCTAAGATCACTTTGTAGAACAGGGACCAGGGGGAATTGATGGCTAAGTTGTCTAACATGCCACAATTCTATGTGTAGAGTTGTGTCCCTTTGGTGTTCAAGAATCCTAACTCCATAATCCCAAATTTGCTCTAATTATGTTTCTTGCTTTGTCAGCCCCATACCCTTGCTCCAATGTTTCAGCAAAGTGGTAAATATATATAACAAACTGTTAAAAGTGGCACTAAACAAAACACAAGTTCACTCTTGTGAGCCACACTGTGGATATTCTGGGGCAGAAGAGACCTCATGCTTGTAATGACTTCTAGTGAGGATTGGTGACTACAACATGTGACCTAGCTGACTGTGTGTCATCATACCCTGATGGGTCGGGTTGCTCATGCTGTTGACCACTTGTTTGTCTCAACTAGACTCAAATCATTACAGGCTAGTGTGGCATAGCTGGAGTGAGTGAGTGAGTGAGTAGTCTTATGCCACTTTTAGCAAAATTCCAGCGAGACATAACTGGAAGATTGCTCATTTCGGCTTAAAACAACATTCACTCACTCACTCACTTCAACTAGGATTAGAAAATAATTGTTAGTTAACCTAATCAACACTTTATCTCAAAGCACCCTGCTTCAAATCCTTCAAGGATTAACCTATACAAGAATGGATTTCAAGGATGAAAGGAGTTCATGGTAAACTCCGATTCAAACATATATATTTCAGTATACAAGGGATGTATCTTTGGTGCTTCATAGTATGATGACAAGTACTGGTTTGATGTAGTTTTTATAGTTTGAGTGATTCTCATCCTTTCATAGTCACATTTTACCCCTTAAACCTAATTTCCTTAATGAAGAAATCATGAGAATAAACATATTTAAGTGATTTCACCGACTTCAACACTATGTTATGCTCAGTATATAATTTTGCTAAAAATTTGAATAATGATGTGTAGTTGTTTGTTTGTTTATAGTTTGGAGAACATTTTGTACTCTGTTCTAACTACAGATGGGGCGATGGGGTAGCCTAGTGGTTAAAGCGTTCGCTCGTCACGCTGAAGACCTGGGTTTCGATACCCCACATGGGTACAATGTGTGAAGCCCATTTCTGGTGTTCCTTGCCATGATATTACTGGAATATTGCTAAAAGCGGCGTAAACCAAACTCTCACTCACTCACTCACTTTAACTACAGATTGTAAGAGAGTGTGGCGTGTGTAATTCGTCAGTACTTTGACACATTGAAATGAAGATTTACTTACTTAATGTTTAGCTAGTGACTCAATACAGACATGTCACGGTAGAAAGTCAAACAAATCGCGCATTATTAATTAAGCCAGAGGTCATATTTAACTGAACTATTGTCGATTATTTGAGAAAATATTGTTACAAAAGTTAATAATTTGATAGGAGATACTTTCTTCTACAAAGATTGAAATATCACACTTGTAGATGAAAGTATCTTCTACGTAGATTTGGTAGCATCATTTGCATAGATGAAAGTATCATTTATCATAGATGTAACTATGAAAAACTAAAATCCTGGCTCCTGAATCAGGGACCCCCAGTCTAAGTTACCCTGTCAGCAATAAATGAAAGAAAAGGCAATACCTACACTTCTGTCACAAGACTCCATTCACACCACATGACTCACAAGTAAGAAAATAAACATTATATCCTCAACATTAATGTTAAATCTCATAATGACCATGGGGAGAGCATTAACTTCATGAGACATTAAATCACACAAAGCGTGTGAAAGGATGCTGTTGAGAGTCACCACATCTTCCACTTAACCTACATCCCTCCATCATCAGCAATCAGCATCCCGAGAAGCTGTGTCAGCCAGGTACCTCGCACCAGACACCTTGAAAGTGAATATATATCGATATACAGCCACGATGGCGACTATGACAGAAAGACATGTGTCGAAGTCATAGTTTTTTTAACCCCTGACCAATGAGGCGTGACCCGTGGCTCCATTTTACAATGTGAGCAGACATCGCTAATTGATCCGTGTTTCACACGATGGGGCCACCAGGTACGACATAGCCCAGAAACTTTGATGATTTCACTCACATATTTTCGTGGTCTTTCATTAATAGCTGGGTCGGGACCTATTCATTATATCATGCCACACATATGCCTGTTATGTGGAGGACTTTCTTAACTGATGACTATCTTGATATATATGTACATTCCAATGTGTCACAATAGTTGGATAGAGTTAATAGTTTCCATGCCAATACTGCTCTTAATTGTCCGTTAGTAACAATGACTCCTGCAACATGACTGCGGAATATCAACATTTAATTTAATCAAGACCAATCTCGATTATAAAAATTGGCAGGTCCAGCAAGTTGAAAATTAGAATTTGAAAATCAATTTAGAGGACTGAAATATTTTCTGTAATAAAGGATTTCATGGACTATATGTTCGTCTATTACAATAGTTGTGTAATGAGTTTCAGGAGCGTAGTATATGCACCTTAATGTTTGGATGTTAGTGAGTGAGTGAGTTGGGTTTAATGCTGCTTTGAACAGTATGCCATTTATATCACAATGGTAGGCTTAATGTTGGAGGAAAGCCTTATGTGATGTAGGTTTCAGAGGTTTACCACTTTGGTGAAACTCACATGCCCTGATAAGCCTAGAAACATAATCAGGGCAAACTGGGATTCAAACCCATAATTATAGGTTTCTGACGTACCCAAGGGACACAACTCTGCACAGCGAATTGTGGGGCCTTTGTCGACTGGGCCACCTGTGACCCTGTGTGGATGTTAACTCTTCAGTATGTGGGTATGAAATTAGATTAAACCATTCAAGAAATCACAAAAAAACAGAATCATATAATGTTCCAAACACAACTCCTTAGCAACCCATTAATAACATGAATTAATTTAAATTAATAGTTTCTTGAGGTAATTACTATTTTTGTGAGGGTTCACAATGAATTCCCCCTACCAACACATGTTTGATTATAAAATTTATATTTTCAAAACTCAAATTAACCAAAAACATGAAGTTAATTTGAATTAATTTTCAAGTCTTTTGGACACTGCAGGATATTAAAACATCAGCTGTGTACAATTTGAGGATTAAGGAGGATGATGGTTGATTGAGCTGAACTTGAAAATGATCAGAGCCCTGGGGCCAGCACTTTGTGACCCTGAAAACTCTGGTTAATTACTCGTGACATGTAATCAGTAGTAATCAAACACTACGCTTCAATAATTACCCATCATGCAACACAGATCATGTTACAGATCAAGTTTGCTCGTCTCAGAAACTACACTTGTGTATAAACTGTTAATGTGTTTGTAAATAGCAGAGTGCATATGAAATTAATAATATATAAATGAATGTAGAGAAATGTTATCAATATTTGTAACTCTAAAATGCATAGTGTGTGTTATTATAACCCTTATCACATAATATTTTACGTTACTTTTATGTGGATACATGTATATAAGGAACAGACTTTTTTATTCATATTTTTATACACATATTTTGCAAAGATTCATGTTCTAGAAGGGGCAAAACAAAAGACAGTTCAGATTTAATTTTTGCTCTTTAGTAAGTTATTTGACAATGTTGTCATGTGGGCAGTATTTATGAAGCAGTCTTGTTCGTCTTGATGTTTAAAATATTGTAAGCAAAACTCTTTGGTGCTAAATATGTAACTTTGAAGTTGGCAGTATAAAAAAGAGAGTTTTCCAGATTTTTTTCCGCTTTGCATTATTTCAAGGTCGGGAGATCTTTAAACCATTTTTTTTATACATGTAGTCTGACCTCGTATACAAAACATCACCTTTGTGAAAGATTGTGTATATGGTACAGAATATATGAAACACTGTATATGGAACATTATATTGTAATATAAAATATATATCAATGAAATACATACATATGAACACTGCAAATATAAAATGTGTATACATGGAGGATATTTCATGTGTCCATTGAAATTTGTTTCTCTCATCGCGTGACAGGGGGAAAGGAGATATTTTCACGTGAGGCAGTGTAATAAAAAGTG